GTAAACCCAACGCACCAATCAGAGACGCGTGATACACAATCTGGCGTCGCCATCCCAGCTATTTTGTCAGGGATACCTTTCTTCTGGAAGGGATGTATCAGGTGTTGTATCAGTATCCTGCAAAAGCAATAATTGGCAAGGGATTATTGAGCATTATCCCTATTCATCCCTTTCTCTTAATGTTCTCAAGAAAAATCCCTGATAGACATCCCTTCTCTGACTTCAAGAAATTGTTTTAATGCGATCATTGTATCCCTGCATACATCCCTTCTATGGACTTAAACATTTTTATCACTGATCATGTATCCCTGCATACGATCCCTCTCTGACTTGGGTAGATTTGTTCATTGCTACATATCCCTGATACGATTCCCTTCTCGGACTTACGTAGATTTCTTCATTGATCACAATACCTATCCTGTACTCCCTTCTCTGACTTAGACGAATTTATAATTGGTCACGTATCGCTGATACATCCCAAATCAGCCAAAATCAAATCATATCAGGATATGATTTTTATTTATTCCATATTGGGGTCATTCATTGATAAGCCGCTACGCATAATATTGCTGATTTTTTACCCCCTACCTGACAATTTTTTGTATCTGAACTTTCCCTTAAAATTGCATGTACTTTCAGCTGTGCGTGTTTGCTGAGCAGACTGTGAAAGAAATGACGTTATGCTCAGATATGGAAGGCCGGGGGAACGCAAGATTTCATCGGCGCCAAACCAATTCCACTTACAGAAATTTTCGAGGCGTTTTCAGAGATTCGCAGAATTGGATCGTAACATGCGTCGCAAAATTTTAGGTTCACATATATTATACAAAGTTTTATACAATTGCAAAATGCAAGAAATACTTAATTTTCTGTGCATAATTGCAAGGGCCGTTTGCGAGGTTTGAATTTTACTGTTGTACGCAGTATCTTCTTAACTGCACTGTAGCAACTTGAGCTACAAAACAACTCCCAGCATACTAGCGTTAGCATACCCTCTTGTCATTTTGGCCGGTTTATTTAGTAGCTTAGCGACTTGATTAAGTTCATCCGTATGAATGTTTTTGCTTGTATCAACCGAATTACTGTATAACCTTTTTGCATTGTTTTTTTTTATATACACACACAAGGGCATGAAGTTCATGAACTGGTGGCCTATTATGAGTATGATGCCTGCCAATATTTTTCTCCCATCTTTGGACCTTTACTTTAGTAAATAGGAAACTGCCTGCGTGATCTGCATTTCAGGATTTCTTGTTCCATGGAATAAGCAAACCAATCGTCCATTCATGCTTTCAAATGGAAAGCAAGTTCAAGCAACAAGGCCCTGTTGGTGACAATCACAACTTCTGCCAGTACGCGGTAACGCGGTGCACTACTTTATGCAGCAGCGCATTGATACCGGCTAGTTGCCAAGTGATGTGACGCGCGCGTTTTTTACCGTTGAGGACGCGAATTTTAAAATGTGCTTCTAAAACCCTAAGCCTGCCGCACACGGTGTGTCTTGTGCTGCCGCCAGCGGACACGCGTGCCTGATGGGCGCAAAGCACAAGACACACAGTCGTTGGCGTGAAAACACAGCGATTTCTTGCGTGTGGAAATATCACACACGTGTGGTTTGATATGTTTCGTGCACGTTGCCAAGATTCACACCGTGTGCGGAGTCGCTGTGCTCATATTGCACAACCGGCTCTATGTAACGACCAATTAGCAGCAGGTCAAGCGAGTCACGTGATCTTAACTTGCGGTTGGGCCACTGCGGTACACGACGTACACGCAGATACACGCACGTACACACAGATACACGCACGTACACGCGGCGTACACGCACCGTTGCACCTCGGGTACACCGCCCACGTACACGCGGTACCACGCAGTACACGCGGGTACACGGGAGATAACACGCACCGCTACACCGCACGTACACGCCGCGTACACGCCACGTACACGCAGATACACGCAACGTACACACAGATCACGCACGTACACACAGATACACGCAGTACACGCGGGTACACGGACGCACGCGGCGTACACGCACGTACACGCGGGTACACTCGCCACGTACACGCGCGGTACACGCGGCTACACCCACGTACACCGGTACCCGCACGTACACACAGATTACACGCACGTACACGACAGGCTACACGCACGTACACGCACGGTACACGCACGTACACGGCACGTTACACGCGGGGTACCGCGGCATACACGCACGTACACGGCACGTACACGCGGATACACGCACGTACACGCGGGTACACGCACGTACACACAGATACACGCACGTCACACGGCGGTCACGACGTACACGCAGGTACACGCACGACACGCCACGTAACACGCGGTCGTGCACGCGCGATACACGCACGTACACGCACGCTACACGCGGGTAGCACGCGGATACACGCCACGTACACGCGGATACACGCGACGTACACGCAGGTACACGCGGGTACACGCACGTACACGCAGGGTACACGCACGTACACGCGGGGTACACGCGGATACGACGCACGTACACGCGGGTACCCCCACGTACACACAGATACACGCACGTACACGCAGTCGTTACCGCGGGGTACACGCACGTACACGCAGGTACACGCACGCTACCACGCGGGTACACGCGGCATACACGCACGTACATCGCGGGTACCGCACGGTACACACAGATAACACCGCACGTTACACGCGGCGTAACACACGTGCACGCGGGTACACGCACAACGTACACGCGGGCTAAACGCAGATACTACGCACGTTACACGCGGGTACACGCACGATACACGCGGCGTACACGCACGTACACGCCAGATACACGCACGTACACACAGATACACCACGTACACGCGGGCGTTACACGCACGTGCACGCAACGCCGCGGGCTACACGCACGTACACACAGATACACGACGTAGCACGCGGGTACACGCACTGTGCTCTGCACGCCACGTGCCGCGGGGTACCCACGCTACCGCGGCCGTACACGGCAGATACACGCACGATACACGCGGGTACCACGTAACCGTGCCACGTGCGTGTACCCGCGTTAGTGCGTGATCTCACGGCGTGTGTACGTACGTGTACCGTCGCGTGCTACCCGCAGTGTACGTGCGTGTATCGCGTGTACCCGCGTGTACGTGCGTGTATCTTCGTTACGTGAGTGCTACCCGCCGTGTACGTGCGTGGTCACGGCGAGGTATCTCCGTGTACCGCGTGTACGTTGCGTGGTATCTGTGTGTAGCGTCGTGTATCTGCACGTGTACGTGCGGTACCCGCGCTGTACGTGCGGTACGTGCTGTATCTCCGTGTACCGCGTGTTACGTGCGTGTATCTCCGTGTACCCGCGTGTACGTAGGTGGACCCGCCGCGCACGTGCGGTGCACGTGCGTTATGTACCGCGTTGTACGTGACGTGTATCTCCGCTGTACCCGCGTTCTGTGCGTGTACCGGCGGCACGTGCGTGCACGGCTGCGTGTACCGCCGTTGTACGTGCGTGATCTGTGTGTCGTGCGTTTGTATCTGCGTGTACGTGCGTTGTACCCGCGCGTACGTGCGTGTATCTCCGTGTACCCGCGTGTACGTTGTGCGTGTACCGACGTGCACCGTGTGTGTAACCCGCGTGTACGTGCGTGTATCTGTGTGTCGTGCGGTACCCGCGTTGTACGTGGCGTGTATCCTGCGTGCTACCGCCGTGTACCTGCGTTGTACCTTGCCGTGTACGTGCGTGCTACCCGCGTTGTAACATGCGTGTACTGCGTGCTATCGCGTGTTACGGGCGTGTATCGCGGTGTACCGCGTCTTGTACGTTGCGTGTACGTGCGTGTATCCGCGGTGCACCCGCGTGGACGTGCGTGGCGTAGCTGTGTACCCGCGATGTACGTGCGTGTATCTGTGGTGTACGTGCGTGTACCCGCCGTGTAACGTGCGTGTATCCGCGTGTACCCGCGTGTACGTGCGTGTACGTGGTGTACGTTGCGTGTACTGGCTGTACGTGAGCGTGTAGCCCGCGTGTACGTGCGTGTACCTCGTGCACGTGCCGTGTACCAGCGTGTACGTGCGATTATACCCGCGTGTACTGCGTGTATCTGCGTGTACGTGCCGTTGTACCGCCAGTATGCCAACCGCAAGTTTAAGATCCACGTGACTCGCTTGACCTGCTGCTATTGGTCGCGTTACATAGAGCGATCTCTATTGTGTGTGCACGCACCAAGCTCCGGCGATAGCGCGTGAGGAAAACACACGCCCCGCGGGGGTTGTCATGAAGATTTTATCCGAGTGGTAATCAGGCCAGCAGCATGACATTCTGCCAGTCATGCTGAGGCGAGGACAAGCTTTAACGTAGCTTAGCGTTTTTGTACATGATTAACTGCACATCATCACAAGATTCGTAGGAGAGGAAGGATGCGCATGAGGAGACAATTTCGTAACTGGAGTAATGATGAGGGAACAAACATTTTTTATTGGTTTAAGAAATAAACTGCATGTAGGATATGATTAGGATGATTGGGCTGATTTTGTTTCCATTACATAGCATATTTATTTTGGTTATTTAAATTTAAGTTAGACATAAATTTTATCTTTAAAGAAAATAAAGCTCCCCTGTCCCCAGCAGCTATGACCCTGACAGTTACATGGCATTGGTCAAGCATCCGCTAGTCATATTTATATAAAGGGACCACAGTCCACAGTCTACAGTCATGTACAATACTGGTCAATCGTGTCTGGTCAAGAAGAACATGACACTAGCTTTCAGTATTACAGTAATATGCAGTTAAATTGAGCTTCATTATAGCAATTTCTACTTTTCTGTGTCAATAGAGCGGTGCGAAATTCGTTATGTAATATAATGGCCGTACTGTCGATAACTCAACCGAGAAATACTGTTGAAAGCTGACGTAGTGCGCACGTACACACGAACGCACGAACGCACGAACGTACTTACGCACGGACGCACGCACGCACGTGCGCATGCACTTACCCACGCATATACTCACCTGACAAAACAATAGATATAGACAGCACAAGAACGATTCCTGAGAATAGGCCTACACGGAATGTGGTCCACGGCGTTTCCTGCAACGAAAACAACAAATAAATCAGGGCAATAGAGGAAACGGAATTGGCAGCAACATCATCTTATAATTACACTCTCGCAGCACGAGATTTCTTAATTCGAACGCGGGGAATGTTAAATGGCAGACAACAACAACCTTATCTTCCCATAATATCCGTAATACAAGGTCATCCATAAGGTTATAAGATGTCACGTGTAGTGCCCCTGCTGTTTCAGCTCTGGTCAATGTAGCCCTAGAACTATAGCCAGAGCGAAGGGCTATAGTTCTAGAGCTCGGGTCAATGCTGATCAGTGTTCGAGTGTGAAATGAGATAAACTTGCATTGGTGTGAGTGTGGAAAAGAGTTCAACACGAGGCCAGTATATCTAGAGTGGAATCTGGGCATGGCAACCGCTAGTGATGGAGAAGGAGGACGAGGACGAGGAGGAGGAGGGGAATGAGTAGGAGGAAGAAAAAGAGGAGGAGGAAGACGAGGGTTAGGAGGAGAAAGAGGAGCGTTAGGAGGAGAAGTAGCGGAACGACTAGGAATAGCAAGAGGAGTAGAATGAAGAGGAAGATTAATTATCCCGATTTACAACCCTTATCTCGAAACGTTTACAACTTCATCTGCTATTCTTACATCGCGTAACACACTACAATCGCCAAATAACAAACACCACCCAACGCCACCCGTCTGTACATCCATCCATCAGCAGAAGTCAGAAAGCAGTTCTAGATCTTTCGCAGCTAACGCACCGATAAATCACTATGGCACACTTTCGTTATCGACCACGACCCAGCTTGCTATGAGAGCATATGGCAGCCAAGCGTAGCAACTAGCTAGCAACTAGCAACTAGCAACTAGCAACGAAGCTTGCCATAAGCGAAAGCAGTATAGTATAGTTGAGTATACTATTATTGTATATTATAGTATAGTATGGTATGGTATGGTATGGTATGGTATGGTATGGTATGGTATGGTATGGTATGACATGGCATGGCATGGCATGGCATGGCATGGCATGGCATGGCCACGACGACAACGAAGACGACGACGACGACGACGACACCGGCGACGACGACGACACCGGCGATGACAACACCAGCGACGACGACGACGACGACGACGACGACGACGACGACGATGACGACGAAAGGTTAACTGACGTCTGAACGCAGCCTGCTTCTCTCTTTCCCCTCATCGCGTGCGCTCTCCCCTCTCTCTCTCCCTCTCTCTCTATCTATCATCGCTATCTCACTCTCACTCGCGCTCTCTAATATCCTATCATCTATTCTATCTCTCTCTCTCATCTCCCGCCTCCTCTCTCTTCTCTCCTCTCATCCCTCTCTCTCCTCTCTCCCCTCTCCGTCCTCTTCCGCTCTCCTCTCCTATCTACCACCTCTTAGCCTCACTCCACCTCTTTCTCTCGCTCGCCTCCTCCTCTACTAATCTATCTCTAGTCTCAGCTCTCTACTCTCTCCTCTCTGTCTCTCTCCTCTCTCTCTATCACTACTCTAGCTCACTCCACTTCTCTCTCGCTCCCTCCTCGTCTATCTATCATCTATCTCTTAGTCCTAACACTCTCACCTCTCTCTCTACTCATTCCGCCTCCGTCTCCTCTATGTTATCAGCGTAACGTTAGTCTCACTCACATCCTTCTCTCTCTCCCTTCTCTCCTTCTCCCGCTCACCCTCTCTCTCTAGCCCTATCTTCTCTTAGCTCAGCTCTCTCTCTCTCTCTCTCTCCATCGTCTCTCTCATCTCTTCTCTCTACTTCTTTTCTATTCTCTCTCCTCTCTCTCGAAGAAGAAGAAGAAGCCACGAAATACAGCATCCAGTGCGGTAGCCGAGCGATTGATCGTGATAATGAGAGGAGGAGACCGGAGGGAACAGGCGAGATGGGCGCGGTGGGAGGACACGAGCCATGAGCATCGGTCCGATGGATGGGATGGACGGACGGACAGAGAGACGGGGGCGGTGGGAGAGGGACAGCGAGCCAGTGCGATAACGTCGGATGGATGGGATGGAGATGACGGACGGGACCAGCCGGGACGGGCGCGGTGGGAGGACATCCCCCCCCGAAGCGACCATGGATACGGTTAGATGGAACGGACGGCGGGACAGCGGACGGGGCGGTGGGAGGGACAGCGAGCCATGTGAACCGTCGAAGGAGAATTGGACCGACGGACAGCGAGGACGTCCACAGCCCGCATTCAAATTAAGCAACACAGACCGAACTCTCGATGCCAAACTCGCAATGCTTAACATGTTAGACTGAAAAGATAGGAAAGAAAGACGGAGAAGAGGGCGGAAGGACACACACCGCGAGCCACACATACACGCACGCACAGCACGCACGCACGGCACGGGATAGAAAAGAGAGAGAGAAAGAGAGAAGAAAACGAGAGGAGAGGGATAGGGATAGGGAGAGAAAGAGAGGAGAGAGAGGAGAGAGAAGAGAGAGAGAGAGAGAGAAGAGAGAGAGAGAGAGAGAGACGAGAGAAAGAGGAGGGAGAGATGAAGAATCAGAGAGATCTGATAGGCACACAGCCAGCCCAGCCAGCCAGTCCAGCCAGCCAGAGCAGGACAATAGATGGACATACGTGCTTAAACTACAGGACCGACCACACGAGCAAATGTCTCAGAAATCACCGAAAATGCACACAAGGAAAACACCAATGACGGGCCGCACACGACGCACAACGATCTAGACTTTCGAGAGCACACGGTCGAACAGAACCGGGGAGCCGATAATATATATATAGGACAAACACAAGGAGTCAGAAAAATATCCTGATTGTATATTATATAGACAGCGCAGCGACAGGCAGCACGGAAGCAGTTACGACGGACGACGATAAGAAATCGTTACCGACAGCACAGGCGTACCATGCACCTTGATAGGCGTTGCAAATAAAATATAATGCTAAATAAATAACGAACCAGTCTATTACTACCACAAACACGTCTTCAATGTTTATACTTCTCTTTCACCTATTATGGCACAACAATTTCTTAGTAAATGCCGCCAAGTGGGGAGGGTGCGGGAGGGTGGCCCCCCAGAATTTTTTTGAGAAAATGGACTATGAACGGCATCTTTTAGTCCCCATGTGGAGATACCTTCTAGCTCAATTTAGGTATGTCAAAACCCATACTTGTAATAAAAGTATCTAACAACAATTCCATGACCTTTTGCAACTAAGCAACGTAGCATAAATGGCTAACAATATACATAAACGGGTAGAAAACAAGTAATACATTTCCTCAAGGCATGGAAAGAACATGTGCCGCGAGCGACAGCGCTCATGTCTATACGTCTACTGCGGTGACTCGTGGTGAGTGGTGGGATTCTAGTTAAACCCTGTTAGCCCAAAGTGTTCAACATGAACACCCGAAATCTGGAATGCACAGGAAGTAATCAGCGAACCTCTCAAAGAACGTTTGGATCGTAGAAATTGCCACGAGATGGCGCATAACGTTTAAGTGCTCAGATTAAAGATGGAAGCCCCATCGTAGAACCGTAGTAGCAACAAAATTTCAAGACACGGAATAGGTCACTCATCCATTTACCTACGCAAGCCTACAGCTGGCAATAGAAGCGCACGTAACCAACTTAACTCAGTGCAAAAACAACAGTACCAACAACCAACATCACTTGGCAGTACCACTGGCGATGGGCATATCTTACATGTAACATACGACAGACAGAATCCATAAGAAATAAATCATTAAGGAGCATAAACCTTCTTAAACCAAAATTTCAGCTTTTGAAATTCCACTGTGACATGTAGCTCATACTTCGGCAGCATATAGACTACAGCAAACCCGCATCAAATTCCCCCCGCTTTCTAACAGACAACAACAAACCATGTTAACCCTCCCCTTATGAGGGTCAAAAGTACCGAGCACTTCCTCTTCGCAATGTCACAGACGGTATATTTCAGAGTCCGTCAAATAAAACCATAAAAATGCTAGGTCACCGTTGAATGCAGGAAAAAGTTTCATCACTGCCGTCAGACATGTCCTCAAAAATGTCTAAAAGCTGCCCGTGGCCCATTGACCCTTGACTGTGACCTCACAATTCGGCACGGGATGCTTCCTACCATAATAGCTATATCACCGACTATCACGACCTAAGGTCGAGCCGTGAAGATTGTGGCCGACAATTCGCAATTTCCCCCCTATACCTTAAGTTAAGGATGAAGCACCCTTCTTTACACCCATCTTGACCTTTGAGCCTTTGACCCCCAGCCTCGACATCCAAACCGTTTGACCGCATCACCCCCGCGATGTCCGAAATCGTGACCGTACTCGAGCGGCTTAAGATTGTGCCCAACTGTTTACAACAGACGAACGGACGGACACGGACAATCATTCGATACTACAAGCTGCATCTGACTACGTCAGATGACCTAAAAATAAAAATTGCATGCGATATAAAAGTACTCAAACCATGTAAAGAGTCAAAGGCATAACTAATGTTACCGCTAGCAGTGTAACAACTAAACATACAAACGGGCCAGAATGGTGTGTGCGAATCAAAACAAATATAAGAATATAATGGATTGAGTGAATAGCAATTTGAAACAGAATAGTCATCACCTGCCTAGGAAAGTGTTTTCTTTTTCTGTTTTCACAACGCGGAGTTGCACGATTCACGCGGCGTCAAAATCGCGAATTCCGCCGATCGTCCGGCAATCCATCCCTAGACACACACACACACAAACGCCGCGCAAGCATGCACGCACGCAACGCACGCACACGACACCGCATACAACGCGTGCCATTGTCCCAGCACGTAGGGCATTTACATTGAGCTAAGACACAGAACACCGCAGGTAACACTTAAACATCAGACAGCTAGTGAGATCACCCACTGAGGTATAGCAGGTAAGTCAGAGAAAACGCAGAATCGAGAAATCGTTGCAGGCAACATAGCGTGCGCTTGTTGCAGCCAGCATACATATATTAATATTATATATGAATAAATTATATATGTAAATGAGTAAATACTGTAAGT